TATGTGTATTTAAGCCTTGCATTGGTGATAATAGAACTCAATTAATAGTAAAGCTTATGACTAACTTATCTTTGTTCTCCTGAACCTTATATTCCCCTAATATTCATACATTTTTATGTATCAATAATCTTTGTCTACTGTACAGACTAATATACATCATAGTTAAAAGTGTTATCGAAGAAGGGTTATTGGGTCATGTCACATATTTCTCTTCTTAATGCTATGCAAGGTTAGAATGAAATTCTGAGGCCTTTATTAAAGCATGGTAATAATTTATTTGACAAAATGTAAAAGATTAAAAAAAATAATCTTGTTAACAATTCCTTGAAGCTAGGTCATGGAAACTTCATTACATTGCATACATTTGGATAATCAAGGCTGCCCAGCAACATTTCTTCAAAAGAAAAAAACCAAACTAGTATTAAAAAGATATTTTCTAAGCTTTTTGAATACTGAGAAAATAAATCCAAACACTGTACAGTCTCAATAGTGAAATCTGTCATGATTTTAGCCTTGCTTGTCATCATTAGCAGAACGATAGATCCACCCACGAGTCACCAGCTCCATGACAAACCATGTTATATCAGAATGTAAACTTTTCTCATCTAAGTGTAAAAAGAAGTCAAGAAAATGTCACTGTTCCCAGACTGAAGTCTTCTGACAGCACAAAGTTAATGACACCACAACAATCTTTCTCAGCAGATGACTTTAGCTATAACTTTGATTTGAGAAACATGCTTTGAACACAGTTTATTTTTCAAAGCATTAGTCATGAAAAGATATGTTTTCTCTGCTTTCCAAGTCTGGTTACTTTGGTTGTTTCTCCATTTGAGAGCTAAACCATTTTGAACTAAACTAATGAGGCAGAGCACATTTAAGTATGAGCAGTGATATCTTTTGCTCCATAATAGTGTGGGATTTCTTATGTGTATACAGCACATTTTTGTGTGGAGTATCTTGTGTCCCACACACTGAGTGCTTTTAGTTGGAACTGCTTTTAGCAGAACTGTACACTGCTTAGGCTGAATTATTCCAGCCTAGAATAAGTTCTAATGACTTGGTTTTTCAAGGCCCCAAGATAGTGAAATTAAGGGTATTTGGTATCTCACACAAGCAAACTCAAAGCTGTCAGAAGGCTGACATTAGAAGGCCGATGATGTCAGAAAACAGGAGACAGAGGATGGACTGTGTTATACAGCTGGGACAATCTGGAACGTGCTCACCAGTAACCAATATAAAAAGAATTTATGTTTAAAGAACATAAAAGCAAACAGAGTTTAAGCCACCTAGAAAAACTAGATTGAATGTTTCCACTGATAGTTCAGGCAGGTAAAGCATGGGCTTACAGCTAGGGAAGTGTCTGGTCTGAAATGGTAAGCACTTCCATTCCTACAGCTTTGGGTGCTGCCATTCTGCATGTAGCCTTAGCTGCCTTAGAGGAGGACTGTGTTTCTGGCATATCTGAGTCCCCTCAAACTGTAACGTGCTTATTCCTAGGACCCCAAGTTTCCCTTTTGCAGTAGAGGAGATAAAGCACAGAAAGATTAACCACAGTTTGTGTGAAGTTGTTCTGGAAGTCTGTGGTAAGGGTTGGATGTGCCAATTGGATGTACCTTTCTGACCATCTGTCCTTTTTCCAAGTCATGACCAGGCCTATTCGTCATTTGTTGTCAGAGAAATAACTGCCAGTATCTATACCTGCTCAGTTATCATTAGCACCAGCTGTTGTTGCTTTTTCAAATCAACATAAAACGTGTTCAGATCCCTGCTGTGTGCTTCCATGGTTTCTGAACTGTGCTAAGAGGATCCCCATGGTGTGCTTCCCTTGTTTCTTAGCATTGCTATGAATCCTTGACAGTCTGCATTTCTTCTCTGTGGGGCCATTTAGAGAGCCAGTGCCACTCTTCCACTGCAACCGTATCTGCTTCTCCTTCTGATGCATATAAAGAGAAGTGTCTCTGTTCTCTTTGCACATCATTCACTCGTGCCAGCTTGTCATCAATCACTGTATTTATGCCCATTCAATATTAAGTGGATAATATGAGACAGTATAACACACAAAAAAGCATAGCACCAGGAAAACATTCATCAGTGAGTTGGTAGACTGGGTGGTCATGTGTGGAAAATCAAAGGAAGTATCCCAGTGGAGTGCCTGCCCGATGAGGTGTAATTGCTTGGTGAGGGGCTGGTTCTTCAAGCACTGGTGTGCCACAGTCACGCTGATATCTTCATTTTCTGTAATAAGGAATTACAGTTTCAGATTCCCGGTGGGAAAGGTTTCCTCCAGCTAACTAACAGGTGCCCCACCCCTCACTCTTCATCTTGTAGGGGCAGTTATAGGTGATGGTTCAGACCAAACCCTAAATGACACTAATCTGCAGACCTGCATTACCAATATAGGTGCACAGATTTAAAAGTAAGCATGTGTGCTGGTATTAGACAGATCTGTGTCTGAACTGATACAGTGTGTGTGTGTTTGTATGTGTGCTGTATACACTTCTCTCAGTGCCATTGTAATTATCTGCTTCCATCAGTGTTTTCTTTCGGCTGAAATAACAAGGCTGAAAAATCCTCAGTGTATTATGGGAATGCTGACAGCTACAGTCAGTTGTTAATGATTTAGAGATGTGAGTTGATTTGTACCCTTAAAGCATTGTATATTGTTTACCACAACTTTTAAATGTCTGTCTTTTGTTCTTCTTTTATGTGTTATTTCCTGTTGAATCGGGAAGGTGGAAAAAATGGCCAGCCTCTACAACATACATGTCCGCACAGGTTGCTTCTGTAACACAGGAGCCTGCCAGATGCATTTGGGTATAAGCGATGAGGACATCCAAAAGAACCTGCAGGTTAGTTTCTGAATGAGATTATGTGATACATTGCCCATGGAAAACATATAAATTCAGTGACCCAGGCTATCAGTTCTGAATTTCACAAAGGATGGGAGAGAGGAAAATCTGGCCCTAAACCATAAAGAAAATATTAGTAAGTAGATAGATAGATAGTTAAAGAATAAAGTAGTTCTATCATATGCTGTGCTTTTGAGTCTCTGCAACTTTTAAAATTAAGGTGAGTTTGATTTGCTTTCTCTGATCTTTCAACTCAATTACCATGTTAAAGAAGAAAATGAACTTAAGTTCAGTACATTGAAACGAAGTGTTGAAACAAAACCGTTTTATGGACCCAAAGCAGTATATGTTGCTATTATATGAAGGACTGTGCTGTATCACTTGTGTCGGTATCATGTAAATATTACTGAACATTTTCACCAGGATAAGACCAATGAAAAACCCATACTTACAGAGATTTTTCATCTTCCAGAAGTGGTATGATGAGGTAGCACAGTCAAGCAGTTATTTTGAGACATTCTCATCAGCAAAATGAGTTATTGACTACATTACTGTGGAAAGGAAGAGAGCTTTTATTCACATTATTTGCATATATGCATTGTTTTTGCCTTTTTTTTTTTTCTCCCAGAAAGAAAGTGGGACTTATGTTTGTAGATCAGTAACATTTCTTGCTTGAAAAAGCTTTCACTATTCACACATCCATTTTTATTTAACAGAAATGCATAAATAAATGAAATTCTGGAAAAAAAAAAAACAAAAAAAACCAACCTTCTGTGAAACTAAGAGCTAAATGTCATGTCCACTGTTGAGCTAATGTTAGGTGGATGATCAAAGGGAGTTTCTAGCTTATCTTGCTAGAGATGAGTGGCAGCATTCACTGACCTGGACAGGCTGGAGAGCTGGGCAGAGAGGAACCTGATGAAGTTAAACAAGAAGAAGTGTAGAGTCATGCACCTGGAGAGAAATAACCACATGCATCAGTACAGGTTAAGGGCTGACCTGCTGGAGAGGAGATTTTCAGTGAAGAATCTTGGTGACCTGGTAGACAGCAGGTTGATGATGAGCCAGCAATCTGTCCTCAGGGCCTAAAAGGCTAATGGTATCCTGGGATGTGTTAAAAAGAACAGGGCCAGCAGGTTGGGGGAGGTTATCCTCCCCTTCTATTCTGCACTGGTGAGGCCACATCTGGTCTACTGTGTCCAGTTCTGGGCTCCCCAGTTCAAGAAAGACAAGGAACTTCTAGGAAGTGTCAAGCTGAGGACTACAAAGATAGTTACGGGCCTGGAGCATCTTCCTTACAAGGAAAGGCTAAGAGATTGGAGAATATTCAGTCTGGAGAAGAAAAGCCTGAGAGGGGATCTTATCAATACTTATGAATATCTAAAGGGTAGGAATCAAGTGAATGGGGCCAGACTCTTTTCAGTGGTCCTCAGCAATAGTACATGGGGGAAGGGGCACAAATGGGAACATAGGAAATTTGATACAAAACTAAGAATAAACTTTTTTTTTCTTTCTGGGTGACACAGCACTGGAACAACCTGCACAGAAAGATTGTGGAGTCTCTGGAGATGTTCAAAACCCCTCTGGATGCTTTCCTGTGCAACCTTCTCTAGGGAACCTGCTTTAGCAGGGGGTTGAACCAGATGGTCTCTAGAGGCCCTTTCCAATCTCTACAATTCAGTGAATATGCCACTGATTATATAAAATGGAACTGTTCTGACAGTGAATGTAAATGAAACTCCCACAGAAACCAGCAGACTAGTGATTTGGTCAGCTATCTGAATGTAATATCCCAGTTTAAATCTCAGTGAACTATGCAGATGGGACTGAAATTTATCTGGAGACTGATCTTGCTAACAGGCTATTCTGGCACATGCAAACTTTTTCTTGACATAAGTTTCTGAGAAGATCCTCTTGCCTTGGGGTAGAATAGGGCAAACATTTCAAAACAATATTTTTCCTTGCTTGAGTAGCTAATTAGACATTTGGGATTTTTTCTCCTTTCTCTGTATGTATTCATGGGTTAACTGTGTATTTCCGAAAACAGTATTTCAGGTTAGAATTAACAGACTTGTGAATAACTATGTACAGTAAGAGGGAAGTAATGCAGTCTGTCATAATAGCTCTGCTTTTCTTCCTATTTTAAACTAGGCTGGCCATGTCTGTGGAGATGATATTGACCTAATTGATGGACGTCCCACTGGTTCTGTGAGAATATCCTTTGGTTACATGTCTTCTTTTGAAGATGCACAGACATTTTTGAAATTCATCATAGCCACAAGGTTCTCCAAGTCAGACACTGAGATTCCCTTTCAATCCTCTGCTACGCAGCTGACAACAGAACCTGCCCCAGATGACCACTCTTACTTTAACAGCATCAATAAATTGTCTCCAAGAATGCACATCGCAGATAGAGAACATAGGAATAGTCCATCTGAAACAGAGATGACTGTCGGTTGGCCATCACCGGAGTCTGAGTCAGAAAGCGTAAGGGCAGCTCTTTCTGAGGTTGCTGTGCCAAAGATTACAAGGGGTGGCAAGCCCATTACTGTCATCAATATTTACCTGTATCCAATCAAATCCTGCTCTGCATTTGAGGTATGTGCTTTAAATTATACTTATTTTATCCCCAACTATCAAACGTCAACCAGGAATAACATGTGCATTAGATATTAGGAAACAATATGTGGGTGCTCACTTTTCCATTTCTCCATTCTCTAGGATTGAGCCCTGCCTGCTAAGGTGCTCTAAAAGATTTTCAATTAGGCTGAAGTTCTGAGATGCAAATGTGTCTTTGCTCTTCTATCGCTCATCACAGAAAAATCAGTGCATAATATGCAGTTTTGGGGGGAGGGGGGAAAAAAGTTGGCTTTGCAAAATTTGACTAAAATATAATCAAATAATTAGTATGCTTTCACTGAATGACATGTGATGGATTTGTAGGCATTGATGGGTAGGCAGCAATTTAGAAATAACTTGATTAACATGTTATAATTGAGAGGAGGTTGATTTACATTACAAAGAAATGTTATCATTAAAAATACATTTGCAACAGAAATATGACATTTAAGTGTTGCTGCACTATTTGAAAGTTCAGTCTTTGAAGATTTTAATTGCTTTTTTGCAAAGTTAATAATATCATCACCTTAGCTATGACTTTTTTTAAAAATAATGCATGCTGAAATAGGTGTATGGCCCACACATGACCTAGAATGTGACTCTGCTTAGTACCATACTGGGAATTGATTTAATGAATGTCAATAATGGTATAACTTTCCCTGTGAAAACTTGCTGGTGTAGGTCACTGTCTCACATATGAATGAAAATTGGGGTCAAATCCTGTGACAAATCACCTGCATTTAAAATATGGATTCTCAGCTGTTTTCATCTTTTTTCTTTTTTTTTTTTTTTTTCTTTAATTCTAAAAAAAAAAAAAAAAAAAAAAAAGGGAAGAATTGAAGCAGTGTCTATTGAAAGATGAACAAAACATCTGCATTTCTAAACTTGGTTTGCTTATGATGTTTTTAATTCAGAGGCACAGTCTTGAGCATTAAATGAGACCTGAACGAATAATTTTCCACTCTTTATTAAACTTCCACTAAATCAAGCCATTTTTACAGCTATATTGCAGAAGCCCACTACAGAAACTGCTGAAATATGTCTTAGCAGTATTTGGGTCCCTTTGGGGTCAAATTCTATTTTTAACGTGCAGGCTGGTGTTACAGGATACATACCACGACACTCAGTGCCAGGAAAGCTTTGAAGTAATTGTGCCCAGAAGCAGGTAAACCATACCTCAGCGTGAAAGACAGCTTTTGTTTTCCCAAACTGAGCCAGTTTTCCTCTCTTCAAGCTCTGTGAAGGGAAACTTCTCTAGGTAATAAATTAATAAAAAGCTGGTACACCCTGACGGACAGAATTGCAGTTTTAATGGAGGAGGAAAATCCCCATGCATAATTCTTGTGCCAGGTATTTGTTAATGGGCCCAGCATGAAAGCAGAGTTCATCTCATCTGACCTTATCCCTTTAAAGTTAGATATTATTCTGTAGGCAGGAAGAGATGGATACCTGCTAAGTCATCTTATCATAAAATAGGCATCTGCAGTGGGAAAAATGAATTGTCCCTAGATATTTCTGTCTCTTTCCATTGACTACAGGAGGTATCAACGGCTACTTGGATTGGATAGGCAACAGCTAACACTAGGCAGTTTAAATAGTTTAAAAGTGCAAATTTAAAAATTGGAACTGTGTGAGGTTTAGGTTTTCATGCCTAGAAATATTTTTGAAGTCTCTGATTTGATATTTTTTGGTAATGAAGCATCAGCTGTGTTAGAGCCCAGTAGCTAAGCACTGTCAGAGCCTGTATTGCCAAAGGGTAATACCCAATGAAATGTATGCTTGCTTTAGTATATGATATTGAAAGGGACTGGAACTTCACTATAAGCAGCGTGCAGCTCTCCTCATCGTCTTCTCAAAGAACATGTTTTGTACATTTCCATTTAGTCCATAGAAGATAACAATAGAAGTTGAATTAATAGATTTGATTAAAAATGGATTTCAGTGCATGAGGAGAACAGGCCAGGAAGTGAAGTCAAAAGTATATTGGAACATTATAGGATTTTCAATATTGAAGTAAGCCAGAAAGGAAAATGTGTTTGCTTATGTGATCATCTTCCTGTCTACCAAATGTTCTTCATATTTTTGTTACCAGAAGTCGGAGTGGCACTTCTAGATCTGTCATATATTTATAGACAGATTGAAAGATCTGCCAACCTGATTTTCTGCATGTAAAAGAGCCAAATATGGCAGCTCACAGCCCACCACTTGTAATGAGCATTAAAACTCAAAGGCAGTTGATTCCATTCTCACCCAGACAGAACTTAGTTTCTTTCCAATGCTGAAGAGTGAAATAGAAAGCCAGTGCTGCCAGAACCCAGACCACCAAATCCAGAGTGCATCATCCTCCACAGTACTGTGCACACCATTACTACAACTTCAGCCTATGTCACCTTGGAAGGGGAAAAAAACCAATACCACACACACTGGAATTTTAATCCAAGCATGCTAGAGAAACCATACCACAATTAAATGGACCCAAGTCCTGAAAATCATTTTGCCTTCTAAAATAGTGATTATCCTAAGACCTCTAGGCTTTATCATGAAAAGGCTGACTCCAGTAGATTATTCCTTTGCCACTCTCTTTGTCATACAGACTTCACACTTTACTGTCCCTTTGCTTTATTAAATCCATAAACTTCTGAAGTAATAATCATGTAGCTTGTAGTTCCCATGGTCTTCAGATAGAAGCCAATAATTGAAATTCAATTTCATGGTTTAAATTTAAAATAGCTTTAAATGTTTTGCAGTTGTTGGAAAGTTAGAAAAATATTTCCTGTTAAAATTTGATGTCTATATTTGTCAGTTACATAGTAGCTCCAAACCAGCTGATGTGAAAAAGTGGTGTAGGTATTAGGCTGCAATAAAATCACTCATCTTGTACTTGGATACTTGAGATCGGAATCTCAGATTTGTAAGTTCAAGTTGCAGTCTTCCAGCTGATGTGAAGGTCAGACCTTCAGCATGCCTTGTAAATGGGCTTTATTGGGAAGTACACGATCAGATGTGTTTGCCTAAAATAAAATGTGTAGTGGAGGATTCCACCTATGCGTGCAAGACCTCATGCATCTACAAGTGAAGTCTGCCCCTCAACTTGTTGTTTGCAGTATAGATGACTTAATTATTAACAGAAGGACAAATTCAAGGATGTGAGTGTGAGCTCAGACCTGTTTAATCTCCTCTTTTAAGTCACATAATCTCCTCTTTATCTAAACTATGAACTAAAACTGTGTTTTAGTGTAGGAAGTGCTTGGCCTCCAGTGAAAATGAGAGTCAGAGTGCTTTGGCATCTGGCAGATTAAAACCTTGCATTAAGATATTCAGCCTACTGCAGACTGGTTAGCTCCTACTGTGTGCATGTTTCATGAACTTTTCCTGGCCACAGGACTGTCTCTGTTCAGTTGTGTTCCATGGATTTTGTACATAGGGCTTAGGAACTAGAGGGCAGAATATTCTAGCTGAACATCTTAAACGTGTATTCACTTTCCTACAATTATTTTATTAAATGGAGAGAAGTAGAAAAGAGGAGTAGCCTCTGTCCCTGACCACATTTTTCTTCTTTTCCAACATAAAAACATACTTTAAACATGCATTTTTAAACATGAACATCTCTCATGTCAATGAATTTTGCATAATTACATAGTGCAATGTGCCCAGTAAAAAGGTTAGGACTTTAAACATTAATAACTTTATTATTCTTGCAGTAGATTTCAGAAGATAAAAATTGCATCTCAACACAGAAAACAAATTAGCTTTTAATCAGAAATACAATGCAAGTTCTTAGTGATCAGTAGATAAATTATATGTAAGACCACTAGTATTTTTAAACTTGCATAATTTAAAAGCTGTTCAGTGCTTGCTTTAATGTGCCTGAAAACTGTGTTAGCTTTTGTGATGACATTATGGTGAACTATGGAAAAATGCAGCCCAAAATGCTTTACAGAAAATTCTGAGCAAAACAAAAATGTTTTTGGAATGAAAATATTACAAAAAGAAAATCTGCTAAAGAAGATAGGATAATGCAATGCACTGGTTGTGCTCTGTGCATTGAGCTTATATTTGAATGTTGTATGATTAGCTCACCTGCCATGCTGGGAATGAGGTTGTACACATGCAGTAATCAGTAAAAGCATGATGTCCATGCTTCTCTCTGTCCTTCATCTTCTAATTTGTCTCAGTAGAGGAGATGGTCATGCAGTTTCAGAGAATTGATGTAATACACTATTTCTTATTGTGATGTAAGTTAGCCTGTTTTATTTCACTTTGCAGTAAGCTTCCCTGGCTGCTTTGCTTCACTCTTCTAGTTACCTGATTATAGGTATTTAGCACTGTTTGAGTGCCCTGCCTTGCCTCCTGCTGTCTGTCCTCCAGGATATGCATCTCTTGTGCAGACTGTGTCTTATCAGCTGATTTAGGGAAGACATGTGGGACGTAATCCAAGGGAGCCAAATTGAACCACTCTTACCGTGCCTCAAATGATGTCCTTTGTTTAACTGCTCTAATTAAGTTACTTGCAATCACTGAACAATCCCTTCAGCCTCTTTCAAATAATGTGGAAGAGGGTCTGTGCAGATTGGAAGCCAAAGTACTGGAGAGAATAGCAATTCCACACTCATCTCCTGTATCAATATTAGCAGCAAATCAGCTCTTTTTCATGATTATCTGTGACTCCCTGTTCAAGGCAGAGTATGCAGTTATTTTCTTGTTGCAACTTTAATTATTGGAGCAGACATGCAATACACTAAGTTGAACTGTGGAGAGAAAGTAGGGCACTTAACAGTTTGCTCAGGACATTCATGAGAGGCATGGGACTTACTGCTGGGGACATTTGTGTGTATCACTCTTATTATGATAGCAGACAACTAGAGGAACCAGAGGAAAAATGAACTCAAGACCTTCAGTCGTGTGCTGCATCGCAGAGTGGAGCCTGGAGCTGTCCCAGAGGTTGAAGCAAAACAATTGAATGTTACAATTGGGTGCTAAGAATCACATTTTTGGGCTCTTCCTATAATTTTCTGCTCTTTTAATTTATTAACTCCATTATGTCTTGCAAATCCCTTCATGATCTGTATATCCATGGCAGGATGCGTTACTGATAAGCGATCTTCTGTTTTGGAAAGGAGATTTGTTAGCAGGAAATTCTTGCAGCTCTCAGATGATCACCAGCTGTTCAAAATGTATTTTGTAATCTAATTACAGGATAACCAAACAATACAAGCATCTCCAAAGGATAATTTCCAGCAAGAATAAAAAGCTGTACTTCAGTTGATATTGCAGTGTTTGAGCTGTGATTCTTCTCCTAAAAAAAAAAAAAAAAAAAAAAAAAAAAAAAAAAAAAAAACAAGGCAAAGGTTCAGATCTTTTAGGTATATCTTTTAGATATAGTTCATAGAATCATAGAATGGCCTGGGTTGAAAAGGTCCACAATGATCATCTGGTTTCAACCTCCCTGCTATGTGCAGGGTCACCAACCACAGACCAGGCTGCCCAGAGCCACATCCAGCCTGGCCTTGAATGCCTCCAGGGATGGGGCATCCACAGCCTCCTTGGGCAACCTGTTCCAGTGCCTCACCACCCTCTGAGTGAAAAATAGTTGCTGGGACAATGCTGTTTCAGATGGCACGTCAGACCTAAAGATTCCATTTTTGACTGAGTTTTTATCCAGACTCACTTCAAAAACTGCCAAAGAGTGTCATAAATCATGTTGATAAAATACATTTATTTAATTTTTCCATGTATGTTCTGTATTTCATGCAGTTGATAACTCATATGGTTGATAGTGGGAGGCTAGTTCGGCTTCAGTGCTCTCAGTTTCCCATTTCAGCACATCTTGAGTGCCTGCCCTCAGCTCTCTCTAGTCATGCTCTTAGTGGCAGTCTGTTGCTGAGAACTTTCCAAAACCTGGAAAAGTTTGTAAGACTGGGGTGCTGTGGCTTCTGTGGGGTTTTGGAAAGAGCACATGCTAAACAAGATTGTGACTTTTAATTAATATAACCAGTGCTTCAAGCCATGCTTTCTTCAGAGCATCTGAATCTCTCAGCATTTTTTGCTAAAGCTGGTTTCATGTGGAAAGTGCTAAGCTTCTCTACAAGAATTCAACACAGTTCATCTGTAGTTAACTTTTCTCATATTCAACTGTGACTAGAAAACATATATCAGTGGAAACAAATGTTTAAATGCCCAGCTTTATGTTAAAATAATGGTATTAATATTTTAGCATTCTGAAGGAGAAAGCAGTTATTAATATCGCCCAAAGACATTACTAAAATTGCTCTCTTTTTTTTTCATTTTGAGATTACCATCTGTGTAGCATCAGTAACAGATGTTCTTTTCACCAGAAAAATGTACATGAAAGCAAGGACAATATGCCTGTGTAGGCTATTGGAAGTAAAGAGCATTATAGAAGCAGTGGAAGAACAGCTCTCAGAGAAGATCATGTTTTGTTGCAGGAGGATTTGGAAAACTATTATGCTCCTAGTTAAAACAGAAACTTCAGCAGTGAATATTTTCTGAGAAAATGGTTCCAGTTTTAAAAAAAATAAATGTGGAAGTTTATTCAGAGTTCTAAATTTCATGTTTTCCTTGCTTTCTGCTTCTTTTTTTCCTTAGTTCATACAACTCACACGAAGCCTCCATTCTTTGTGAATTAAAGTTGTTAAGGGGAAGAGGTCCTAAAAATATCTGAGTATAAAATTAAAAACAGTTTTCAGAGTGTTTTTATTGATTATTTACTGCATTCCCACAGTTCTGTTAAATCAAAGGGTGTGACAATACGCAACAAACTGTAGTAACTCCATTCTCTTCTGTCAGCTTCCTGCAGTGAGAACTTGATCTTTGATTTAAAGTTCCTGTTATAAAGGTTGACATCAGCTTGCAAAAGTTTTTCTGATTTCAAGGAATTTCATTATTGGTTTCTTTTCCCTAACTTTTCAGCATGAATGTGTTAATACAACTAGTATTTTCTAAACCTTTCCATCCCCTCCTGATGCTTTTCCAGGTTACAGAATGGCCGGTAGGAAACCAGGGTTTGATGTATGACCGTAACTGGATGGTTGTAAATCAGAATGGTGTGTGCATAACTCAGAAGCAGGAGCCAAAGTTGTGTCTTATAAATCCCTCAATTAATCTGAAGCAAAAGATTATGGTCATTCAGGCAGAAGGTAAGTGAACAGTATCCTTTCCCCCCCTTTGTTACTGATGTTAAACTTGCATGCAGAGACACCTGTGTGCATGCACAGAAATACTGATTGCTATGTATGCATACCAGCTGAACAGACATCTGCTATCAGCTGCAGGTAAAGAAAGCTGAGGCTGGAATAGCCCTGGGTACTTTCCTAGCTTATTGTTGGGATAGGCAGAGAGCAGATAGCAAATCTGTATGCGCAGTAGTAAAGTGAATGCTTCAGGAAGGAAACATGATTTGATAAATGTGGAAATCCATTGACTAATCTGTCCCTCCACATCATGAAGGTGAGTTCACCAGCCTGAAGGGACTGTTACCGCTGTGAAGGTAAAGGAACAGGAGTCTAACATCAAACATCTTGGCCAAAGCCCTTCCCATGTTTTGCTCTCCTCTTTCTTCCAGCAGCTATGGGACTAGAGGGGTAGAGTCTTCAGTGGGAATTAATATGAATTAAGATAAGAAACAGATAGTACTAAGCTCAGTTAAATGCTCGCACTGGCAGGCATGTTTGGGCTTCTTTTGACTCGTCAAAACCCTCTTTATTATCTGCTGAAGGGAAAAAAAATAGAGAAAACTTTATGGAAAGCTTTATGGAAAGCCCCTTGCTACTTGGGGATACAAATCATTTATTTTCCTAACAGTGCTATTAGCACTCAACAGTCGAACAGGTTTGTATTCCACTGAAGTCATCATTAATGCCAAGTTTGCATGTGGCTGAATGGTGTTTATCATTTCCCTTGTGTCCCACATTTACTCATCCTGTATGTCTTAACTGTTATTATTATATGTGTTCTCATTTTGCACAGCTAGAGAAAAACAAGGGAACTTACATTCAGATTTTTAACCTCTTATTAGAACTCCATATGAGTGGTTCTGTAACTACAGCCTCCTTTCTGTTTCTACAGTACATTTGTTGTCCACTCCAATTGTCAGGCCAGCTAATTTCTTTTGTCAGCTTTGTCAAATGTACAATTAGGGTATTTCTGCTATTTTTTTGAATACTTTTTGTGTGTTCTAGTGCCCAAACACAATCTTGTTTCTATTTAGGGATTCCAATCCGGCTCTCAGGGGGCTCTCTGCCCCCCTCCAGGCACATGCATTCCTTTCCCTCTGGAGCATTTCATTATTGGAAAAAATTGTTTATAGCTATTTTATTTCAATATGGTTTAGTATTCCCTACTCTCGCTGTCCAACAAAATAAATTTGTCAGTGTGATTCAGTGTGACAGTAACTACTTTAATAGCTTTTGCCAAATCCTTCCTGTGCTGAGACTGCTTCAGGTTCTTTTTTTAACCCCCATGTGTGAGCTGTCTAACAGCCAGCCCTGGATGGACAGGCAGATCAACTGTCTGACCAACCCAGTGGTGGATCCTGCTGTCACTGCTTGTGCTGCTGTTGTCATGGCTGTTCCTTACTGTGGTAGAGGGAGGGAGTTTTTAATTTTGAGAAACTGCATTTCTGGGTTTTGACAGTTATTTTGGTAGCCCGTGTGGTTGTTAGCAGGGATTTCCTCTCTTTGACGTGAAGGGTACAACAAACCCTCACTATCACACGACCCAGTTTGAGATAACTGTTGTTAGTTTAAATCAGCTTCTAAATAGAAAGATAACTTTTTATATATTGATGTAGGGTTGCTTCCACTGAAACAATTAATGATGGAGCTTCCAGCAGCTCAGGGCAGGTGTCTTTATTTCCAGAAGTCGTATTGCTAGAGGGAAAATCAAGGAGAATCTTTTTCTCCTGCTCCAGCAAACACATAGGGGCACAAACAGCACTGGGCTGGTTCCTGACACATAAAAACAGAATTTGCTTGAGAATACGTTTCTGTAAAAGGGTAATTTCTCTCTTTACATGTTAGCTAACAATCAGCATTACTCTGGCAAGTTGTGACAGTTTGCCACCACATGGAGGGAGAAATTTTAAGTGCTATGAAGGCCTTTTAAAACACTGGAGTAGAAAGATGCTTGCAAAACTGAACAACTAATTACACTTTATGGAGTTTATTCTGCCTTCAAATGGTCATGTGTTGCTGCCAATAAAAATAATAGGAATTATACAAATACACTGCTGAAAGAATGTACATGAATGGTTTGTATTTTAGTCTACTGAAATAACAGACCTCTAATTTTTCTCATTGACTGAAAATAGGAGCTATAAAGACAAGATTTTTTTTTTATATATTAATACTGTGAGCACATCTGTGGATCTTATTATCAAGCAAATGACCATGGAGAATGACAGCTTTTACAATTTAGTAACTGGCAATATTCGGCTTTTTTTTTTTTTTTTGCCTCAAGATAGAATAAAATTGTAATTAACAATGTTTAACTGACCTAAAACTCACTGTAAAATGTGTATTGTTCAATAAAAATGTGATTCACTTGTTTATAAAAGCAAGGCTTTTTAAAGCCCTGAGACTCTATTTTAAGAAATGTGAGTATGCCTTGTTCAGAATTTTATTTTAAAAGATAGTAACAGATAAGGACACACATAGTGTCCTTTCAGGTGGCTTGGAGCTAGATGATCTGTAAGGTCCCTTCTAACCCAGGCTATTCTATGATTCTATAGTTGTATGAATCAAACTTTTCCAGAAGGAATGATGCTTATGTTTAATTATTTCAAAGTACAAGAACATTTGTCCTGGTCTGTAAGGTGATAATAATGTCTTCTTTTTTAGGTTGTTGCAGGCAACTTTAATGCAACTTTAATGTAGGTTGTTCCAAAAGTAATGCCTCCTGTTTCATTCCATGGAAACTGCAGCAGATACAAAGAGCACTATAACACTATTTGCAAGAGCAAATTTTCAGCTACAAAACACTGTTTTTCAACATAGTCACCACTATTAGCTATGCATTTTTGCAAGTGATGAACAAGAGCCTGCATGACACACTTGTAAAAAGTTGCATTGCTATCCAGAATGTGGCTCGTCTTTCATTTCGCTGTTGCCGCTGCTGAAATGTAGCACCCACAGCCTCACTGTGCTCACATTCACTGTTTGGCCTCCATCAGTGTTCAACAAGCATCAGTGAATGTCAATGGGTGCCATTTTTTGCATATGGAGGAATTCAGTGACATACCTTTGCTTGACACAGTTCCATGTCAGACACCATTTTGTCAGAGTGCCCCACTGCTGCCATCTGTTGCAAAGCAACAAAATGCAGTGGAATACTGGTGGGAACATTCAACCTCTACTGCCATACCATCGACATCCACCTATGATATATTGTGGACCAACATCATAAAATGGGAGGCATTACTTTCAGAGCAGCCTGCGTATTGCTTGAATGTTTTCTTTTTCTAAACGAACCTAAATTTTCCTCCGTTGTCTTTGCTTCTGAAGTATCCCAACGTGGCTAGCTAAGTAGAGAATGGGAGTCTCTCTGTACTGAAAACTTGCAAGGACTGGAGCTGTTAGCTGGGCTATAGCAAATCTGAACTACATTTCATTCCTCTCCTTACAATTTAAAAAAAAAAAAAAATGATTTCACCACGTCAGAGGGCTAATAGAGCTTAATTCTTGTTTGTAGGACAAATATATAAGCAGGAAGTAATGAGTGAATTCAAGATGTGCTGGTATAAAACTGGAGTACTGCAGATCAGATTCTTCATTGGTTTGTGTTGCAGTATGATAGAAAATAGTTGCATTCATTGCAGCCACATAGGCACACTTTGTTCATCACATAGGATTATTGCTTTCAATTAACAGATAGCAAAGCTGTGCAGCTTTATTTTTTCTTTCTACTAAACTACAGCAGCTATTCCATCCCTTTCACATCCCATTCCTGATACAAAAACTATGGAAAAAACTTTTAATGTATGTCATTACCAGGGATACATCATCTTGTTTAAGCTCAGAAATGGATACATGTGAATAGTTGTCTATTTGTGGTATCTATACATTTTATCGTTACTCTAGTTATTGTAATTTAATGTCACATTGTATTTCTTTCCATGTACAGCCTATGCTTATGTTTTCTTTTCCGTGCCCCCATCTTTCTGTTCAGTCCATCCCACTGCTCCAAAAGAAAACACAGCAGTGATTAACCTCATCTCCTGATTTGCTGGAGAGAGCAAAACAGTGATAAACCCATGCTTTCAGCAGGAGCCATGATTGAGGCAGTAATTCTGTGCCAGTTATATTGCCTGAGATTCACAAAAAATGAAGTTATTCAAAGCTGAAGCAGTGTATTCCTCGGTGTGGCTTGGATACCAAGGTCATCTGCAGCCTTTGCTCTTTGCATTATCATTTGGAGCCACCTGCAGGCAGAGAACATAATTCTAGCAAAAAGGAAGTGAGGATTTTTGTTGCACAAAATGTGGGAGGCTGCTGTGACTGTGAACAGGTGCAAACATAGGCATTTTATTCATTATTGTATGATTCTACATAAATGTTTTTTAATTTGGTTTTCTCTCTCCCTGTCTAGGCATGGATCCAATATCTGTATCACTAGAAGAAAATACTGGAAAAGAGGCTGTGATCTATGAGAGTAAAGTCTGTTCACACAGGTGAGGAGAACAGAGAGGAAACCAAGCCAAAAATCATTGCAGTAAAACTAAGAACATTATCAGATTGACACTAAGGGGCAAAGTCCTTTAATAAGAATGAGGGAAGATAGAAAGCAATAAATGTTCATTGAGTTAGGGGGCCAGGAGAAGACAGTTTGAGATAAGTAATTTGGCATGAACAGCATGTCTGATAGAGAACAGTAAGTACTAACATTAATGAAGAGGGAGTTAAATGGGAAGGTTACAAGAGACTGATGACATGGCACTAACTTGAGTAAGAGAGATCTTTGTTTTACGTTTTCCAAGGATGAAAAAAGGAAAGGATATCACCTCTTGCTTCCAAATGTCAAACAGGAACCTCAGCAGGACTCTAGAAATTCAGCTCATTCATTTGACAGTAATGATGCTGGCAACTTTGCCCATTTCTCACTGAACTGATTCAAATTTGCTAGAACCCACTGAAGTTATAAACAGCTTTCCTTATATGTACAAGCCTTTTTAATTTTGTTTTGACCATCCATGTTGATCAGTGTCCCTTTAATGAGCCTAGGAGGATTGCAGGTGAGTATGTGAAATATGATCAACTCTAAATCAAGACATAGCACTTCAATGAAATACAACATTATGAATAAATTAATTTCCTATCAATGAATTAAGCATTTATCCATCATATTTTCTAAGTACATCCCAGTCTCAAAAGTTTTTCTGAGTGAGTGGCAGTGTTCCAAATGCCTTCCTAAAGTATATTTGCATTTATTACTACATTTGTTTTCACCGTGTCTTTTGGTAACCCCAAATGAAAGAGCAATTTACAGATTTCTTTAGTCTTTTAACCAATGTATGCAGGTTCTTTGTAACCCTGTATTGGCTTTTATGAGGGTAACATAAACAATCCATCAGAAGTCCTGGCCATTTTCCCAATTGAGCCAAGGAGGAAATGATCTTCTCCTTCTTTTCCATTAGCTATTCAGATGGTGATAAAGAGGATTGTTCCCTCAGAAGTGTACTTTCCTCAGGTGGTGGAATTCACCCAAGAGTCATTTGTTTTAACCATCTGTCCCACTTCCCTTAGTGTTGACTCATCCCTAGCCTCCCCATGGTTAGCCCATCTATTACAGGTGCTGCTATAAAATAGCCTAGGTTGTCTTTTTCTCTGTGTCTATATGTTTTGTTGTCATGCCATTTATTACAGTATGTCTGTTGTGTCAGTGACTGTGCTATTTTAATGCATGAAGCAGGAAATTTTTGTGGGAGGCAGCTTAGAGTTCTGAGGAAGAAGAAAAGGATGAAGTGGTGAGGAAAGGGGAGATGCAAGACAAAGACTGTGATAGGCAAATAAACAAGGCAGGAAATAAAGCCAAATGAGTGGACAAAATTCATGAGGCTCCCCAGATTCTCAGAGATCCAACAACACTGATACCAGGTTCCTGTGTTTCAACAGGGGAGCCTCCAGGGCCTAGAATTCAGAAATAGGAGCAAAACAGTGCTTTGCACACATTGGAGTGACAGGGCTTTTTAGTACAACATCTAACAGAGAGCAGATGAAAGTACTCACAGAAGCCAGTGTTAAGTTTATGGGTGCTGCAGAAAACTGTAAATGCTCAGGGTTAGTGCTTTGCTGAAATAGGCAGGAACACCGTATCAAAAAAGCCAAGGGAAGGATATTTATGATAGAAGAAGACAAAGGTATAGTTAAAAACAAGGTGAACTGAAGCTGTTATGGGTGAGTATAAGTATTCTATCCCTTGAGATCAATATTCAGACTTCATCTGTCCTTGTTTCTTGTTCTATAAATTACCAAGCCAGAGGGACCAGCTGTAAGGCACTGAAGCTGAATGACAAAATAGTGTGGTGAGTGGGGAGCTCAAGGCAGACAGCAAGTAAAATCTGAGGACGAGGCCCTGCTTTATAAATTGTCTGACATGTTGCAAATGAAATGTAATACTGACAGATGTAAAGTAATACTTGACAAAAATAAACACAAACAGAAAATGAATGGAGTTGAACTTCAAGAGAAGAAGTTTGAAAAGGACCTTGAAGAGATGATGGTCCTTGCTCACAAAATGGTCTGGCAATAAGGGAAAGCAATTTGAAAACCTTGGAGTCTTGAAATACAAAAACCACATGGTGACATTTGATGAAATATTCAGAATGCTGTGTGTCTCTAACTCAGCTACTGTGACTCAAAAGAGAAAGCAAATAAAAAAGAGGGCCAAATTTTCATCCTGATTTATGCAGTGTTAAGTTCCAGCTAGGCAGCTAGGCAGTTGGCTCAGCAGAAAATTGAAATACCCCTAGCACCTCTGTTTGGGTGGGAAAAACTATTTGGGGAATTTGTTTCACCTGTACTGTGATCATGAAAGATTCATGTCTTCTCATTAGCTGCCTTCTCCCTAACACAGTGAGCAGTGAGGACACAAGAACTGCTCACTTCAGGTTATGAATATCATGTGGAGATTCACCTTTTGTCCCCAGTTCTAGCCACAGTGCCGTGGCACCATTTTTTCATTTCAGCTTTAGGACATCATTGACTAAAAGCAGCAGGTGGGCATCTGTCCAGTCTCAGACTGGGGAGACGGATGCTCAGCTGCATCTCAGTAAAAATTCAGATCAGCAGCTGAAGGTGTATCTGATCCCTGCAGGATTATAAAATCTCTTGATATCACTTTTCCTGGTTTTCTACCTGTGTAACTTGATTGAACACACAGAACATTTCATAAAGCCAAGCCAATTCCTCTCTCAATCTTAGGGCTTAGCGTCTTTTACCATGTGGAACTGTTTTCTTGTTTCACAAAGAAGAGAGTCACCATTCAGCTTTTTTTGTCTGGGTAGGAAAGCAAGGTGAGCACAGGACCACTGCTACTTCACTTTCCTTATTACAAGAATCTTGCCTAGATGGTCATGAGAATCTACATTCCTCTTACCTATTCATGCCACTTAACAGGTAGACATCAGTCAAAATGTAGTTAAAAAAACACACCTGGAGTAAGAGTCATCCCATCCTGAGATCTGATATAGATGCAAAGTACTTATCTCTTTCTATTTTCTGTAAGGGGAACCCAGACAACTAGCTAAAACTAAATGCCCTGTTTTTAGACAATTGAAATTAAGATGACTCTGGGCCAAGGATGCTAATTGCAAATAGGTCTGATCTGTGTACTTTCTGAAATGAGAGTAGTGATCTAAAAACCCTTTTAGTAGAGCTTAGATCCATGTAAAGAAGGCCAATCTTGTGTAACTCACTAGACAGATTACTAGTAATAGGAACCATCTTTAAGTTGAGAAAAACTGCTACATGGGTTCTACTAGTGGAGTAAAAAGCACATACCAGTGAATAACTTTTTCATAACACTTCACTGTAATGCTTTAGTATGGACTACCAGTTACTGTAGCCCAGAGTCATTGTCTTGAGCACTGCAATTACATAATAGTTTATTCTGCAATGAATGCTGGTCTGATACCAAATTAGATCTCATGAATATTAAGACTAACAGAATAGAGCTGAGGAAATTGGGAAATAAAATTATGCAGAATAAACATCTTTGTTATTTGTCTTCAGTTTTGCAAGTTAGTGTTTTGGTGATCAAATTTTGTAAAAAGTCCCTCCATTCTCATGATAGGGTGAAAACCTATGACTGTGGAGAAAGAACTGCTGGCTGGTTCTCTACATTTCTTGGTCGTCCATGTCGCTTGATAAGACAAAGTCCAGACAGGAAAAATGACACGCAACACAAAAATACAAAAGGTTTGTTGTCAATCTTAAAAAAAAAAAGTGGTACCTCACTTAATAAATATGGAGTCATTGACTTCACACTGAGTATAAAATTTCCTTGATAAAAGGGGAAAGAGTCATGAGATATTGATCTACTAGGCTTCTACGGGTACATTTATACCTGTACTCTGCTTTTGCTGCCCTTCTCTTGCTTTCATCTGGTGAAAATGTACAAATACCTCCGTCTTTCTTTTTTTATCATCACTACAATGATTTTATCTGGAAATCCAATGATCATCTTGAGAAATGGTGATGAAAAATCTATAAAAAGAATGTATTTTTATACCTTTTTTTTTTTTTAATAAAAGCAATCAAATTGAAAGAGCGCTGAAAACCCATAGATATTGCTGTTGTAAATGATTTTAAAACTGGTAAAATCTCGGCTGTATGTCAGTTTCTAAATGCACTGTATCATTACAATTTGCAGTTTTGAGAGGATTCCTGGAATCTTTCCTTAGTATCTGGAGCCCAGCAAGAAATGTTTTAATGAGAAAGAGTAAGAGGTCAAAGGAAAAATGAAACTGCTATTATAGTCTTCCTGATTATCCGTCATTGTATAATATAGGATTGATTTTTGGTAGGTCTGACATGTGCTACAAGCATCTCGCTCTCTCTTGTGAATGAAGCTCAATACCTCCTGATAAATGCAGCCAGCATTCTGCAGCTGAGAGAACATGTTGCTCCAAGGTAAGATTCTTTTGTCTTCAAATATCTTTCAGCTGTCCTGGATTCCAGAATCTTGCCAGAAGGTACCAGTATAATTGTTTTATCTCAGAATTTAGAGGCACGTACTTTTCAATGTTCAACAAATATATAGGTACTAAACTACTATAATTACTCACTCCTGAAATGCTTCTGAAAACTTGAGTTAAATACTCAGATATAAACACTGCCTACCAGTCATCTTCAGGAGAACTTTAACAAACCTCTTGATAGTTGATCTGATGCTAGGGGACCATTAGGAATCAGTCAACTTCTGTTTGTGGAAAGAACATGGATAAGTTAGTTTTCCTTGACATAAGTAACCAGTTAGATGAAAATATAAAGTCTTGTTACTTACTGAAATACTTCTTCCTATGGGAAAGCTTCAGATTTAGAGAAACATTCACAATAGAAATATTTTAGAACTATTTGCAGGACTGTGCTTACTTTGTTTATTTATTGAATTTTATATTACTGTACAAAAGTGAGAGATACAGGCAGCAAACAAAACACTTCAGCTAGACTGGGATTTAAAGTTAATGACACCCAATGCTAGTTATATTTTCACAAACTGAAACTATTTCTTGAATATAACGGAGGACAGGCTGGAATTCCATCATTGTTGTTTCTTCCATTCTTCTATACCATATATGTTTCTTCTTTTATGAGTTCATGTCCCCCTTTCCTTGTCTCACCAAACTATTGTGTCTGCTTGGAGATATCTTTTTTCCCTGTAGTCAGTCACCTACATGTCTCTCTGCACTGGAATTCTTGTTTATAGAATCATGGAATGGCCTGGGTTGAAAAGGACCACAATGATCACTCAGTTTCAACGCCCTGCTATGTGCAGGGTCGCCAACCAGCAGACCAGGCTGCCCAGAGCCACATCCAGCCTGGCCTTGAATGCCTCCAGGGATGGGGCATCCACAGCCTCCTTGGGCAACCTGTTCCAGTGTGTCACCACCCTCTGCATGAAATACTTCTTCCTAGTATCTAACCTAAATCTCCCCCGTCTTAATTTAAAACCACTCTCCCTCGTCCTAGTGTTATTCCTACATATATATATACACACACACACACACATATATATATACACATATAGCTGTAGGAGGATGCATATATGACTTCAGGACTTAAAACCACAAACTGTGATAAACATCACTACAGATCAGCTTGCATTTCCTTCTTTCTTTAGGAGACAGTTGAACAGTTTTGACTTATCAGGACAGTGTCCCTTTGGGAAAAATGCCTGGCAAAAGCTTGAATCTGTCCATCTCTCAAATACTTTGACTACCTTTTCTCAGTAATTATTAATGCCTTTTTTTGAGCTTGACTGGCTGGGTTACATCTCCTTGGGAAAACAATGCTTGCAGGTATCCCTTACTCACACTGGACATTTTCCATGTGGGCTCCAGTGAGGAAACCTTTCAGGTATGATATGTGAGTGCACAGAAAAAGAGTAAGGCTCCAGAGGAAGCAGCAAGTGACAGGAGGAGGAGGATAGGGAACTTTGCAACATGTGATGTCAGATGATCCACTGTTTTTGCACCTAATATCTTGCAGCATTCTCTTCAGTACAACATAATCTCCTTTTTCTCAAAGGATACTCCAGACATGACTGGAGCTGCCACTGGGCCTGAGAAGTATTTTGCTTCCCAATTTTCAGCACAGGCTGGAAGACCCCTCCTTATTTTGCCATGCTGTGCTTTCTCAGGGTGCTGAGGAAATTAATTCAGCATAATAGAATCATAGAATGATTTGGGTTGGAAGGCACCTTAAAAATCATCTAGTTCCAACCTCTCTGCCGTGTGCAGGGACACCTACCATCAGGCTGCTCAAAGTCCCGCCCAGCCTGGCCTTGAACACTTCCAGCAATGGGCCATCCACGGCTTCTCTGGGCAACTGTTCTAGTTTCTCACCACCCTTACAGCAAAGACTTTCTTCCTAACATCTAATCTAATGCTTAATTATTAATGTACAGCACAATCATTCCTCACTGCTACCCAATCATTGCCATACAAACTTTCCAAATACTGAACTATGCAATTAACTTTGAAGAATCTGCATATGGGGATCTTTATTAAATTATTATTTTATTTTTTTTTTAAGAAAATATGAGTTAGCATCTTGGCATGTAAGTTTATTTTTGTTCAGTGGAAACCTGCTAAGATTTATAGAACTCTTTCAAACTGCAGTTGAATTTTAACAGGTTCTCTTTGATGCATATTCTGTAGTAAGTAAAAATTAATCTTCACCTTTGTACTTGGCTCTTGAAAGGTGATCTAAAACAGTAACAGCAATTTAATTATAAATTAGAATGTAAGGTGCTGGTGAAAAACTACATGTATAAAGAGACATCCACCTCTGCTGTTGCCTTTAGAGGTTGCCTCCACAAAAATCCCCATGATTTGGCCTGCGCAAATGGTCCTGATAGAAATATTCTCATGAAGGTGCAAATAATCGTTTTCAGTTTCTGTTTAATATATGGAATGCTTTCTGTATTGCAGGGCCCGCTGCTGTGGTAAGTCCTAAGTACTCAAGCTAACTTTGGCAAATTACATTGATTTTCACAACAGATCCATGCTGAGATTTACAGGAAGAAGATGCTTCCATCCAACTGATTCATGTTTTTAGAGAGAGGAAATAACAGGAATTTACTCAGATACATGCTGCCAAATAGTTACAAGCAGTTCTGAGGACTGGGAATAAACGTGGGAGAGTCCAAGTATTTTGGAGGTGAGACTGAGCAGGTAGAGAGGGAGAAAGAGTGTGGATATTGGAGTCTTGGAGAAGCAGCATCAAGGGCTGGAAGTCAAAACTGGAAGTAGTTTTTAGCAGCTGGTTCAGAATGCAATGGACTTAACTATGAAGTTACCAGGGCCTTTGATGCACCTGTTAATACCAGCATGGGCGGCAGGAACTCATCTGTCACAAAATGCATTGAAAGCTGTCTGTACACAGCACTCCTTTCTGCCAGGTGTCAAGACAGTCCACAGTAAAATTGGGAAACAAAATGGTGTAACTCAACTGTTTCATTGCTAACTGCTTTTTTCCCCTGTAAGTCTCAGCATCAGCATAGTCTGTACTTACCTACTACAATCATGATAAGCTGTATCTCAGCCATGGGATTGCTTGTGGGATCCCTAGGGAAATCTTGCAGCCCTGCGATTTCCCACTGCATTTTCTATCCCCAGGCTCCTAAAAGCCTTGTGAACAGTGAAGGTTTGTAGGAGCCAAGGTTGTGTAGTTTGACTGTAGATCAGTTCATTGTTATGCACATTCATCTGCTAAAAAGGATCATCTAGACTGTTTTAGAGAAAATCAAGTTCTTTTTCATGTAGCAGGCCTATTCTGCCAGGACTGCTTGATGGGAAGAGTTTTTCCCATGCATTGAGTTTACATTTTTTTTCCCTTATTTTAATTAAAACAAAAATTTCAAAATGTTTCTCCGTTTTTAAAACTTTTTTTTTTTTTTCCTAGAACAGAAATATCTTTGCACTACTTACCCAAGTTATGATCTCTGCTGGAGCGTGTCATATCCAAAAGTTCTCAGAACACAGCTGATAAAACACTGAAAGTTGTTCATGTCCACCATGGCTAATGCAAAATGAAATGCTCTTTCCCACTAACAGTAGTACTCAGAGAACCTCCCTCACAAATTTTAGGGCTGTCATTTTTTATGGTACTGGTAGAATTCTCCTTTGGAAGGAGAATGAAGAATGCAAAGATGCAGCCAGCTTTCTGATATTTATATGCGGTCTGCTGCTCTGTCTCCCACATATATGTTCTTAGCACTGACACAAATCTACACTCTGACAGTTCTAATGCTTGTAAAGAGGTGGAGATATCTCCTCACAGAGATTAATTTTTGTTCTAAACATCTGTCATGCGGTGCAATCTGCTGCAGCCTACAGACAAATAATAATATGAGGAGTACATTCTCTCATAAAATGCCTTTACTGGCCTTGAGCATCTGCTGGTTTTCTCCCTTTTCAACTACAGCATGTGCAGAATATGTTTGTATTTGCTTTCTTGTTAGAAGCATTTAATCAGTCAAGTGATAACTTAGTCAAAAGATCTTTTTATTTGCTACCATTATTTTTACATGTAACTAGTAAAGAAGTTTTTTCATATGCATTGTTTTTAATTGCTGAATGTTTTCCTGCCTTCTTTACAGTACTTTACAGGGCTACAGCTCTGAAGAAACCACCCAGTTGATTACAAGTTATAGTAGAATACTTTGTGCCTCTTTTATTACCTTTGTAATAAAACTTGATCGAAGATATTCTGGAAAAACATTTGATGAATTCTATTAGCCACTAGCTTCTTACAGCACAAAAATCTAGTGCAGAACTATTGCAGAACACATTAACTAAGCTTGCTTTTTCTCTTCCATTGTGAACTCCATTATATAGATTGAAAGAGCCATTGGAAATAGAGGAATTAATCCGACGTTTCCGTGCCAACATTGTCATCAGTGCACCAGAATCCTTTGAAGAAGAAGAGTGGGCTGAGATCTCAATAGGTTCTCTGCGATTCCAGGTGCAAACTTATCTCCATTGTCTAAATTCCTATTCTGTCACAAAGCATTTTGGCCCCTGGAGATTGAGAAATTCTTGCAAAGCTTTGAGTTGAACATGGGCAACAGTGTGTACAGGTGAAATTTATGAAGTGCTAAAAAACCATGCTGTGACCCCTGCCAAGCATGCTGCAAAGTGACTGAGTGGTTTTGACGTATTTCTCCACCCCCTTTTTTTTTTTTTAACAAATTTCATAATTCATAACATTTCTCATCTCCATCCAGCTGAGGAAAAAAAATAGTCACTTTTTTAAGGTAGGGTTTGCAGCAAATATTGAACAAGCATGTAACAAGAGAATACTAGTTGCTCTCAAGTATGATAATCTAAATGCAGTCTCAGATTGCTGCACATCAGTCATTGTACTGATTGCCAGAAGCCTGGACATGAATACCAGTGAGTGATCACTGTCCATTGCCCTCTGGTGTATGCATCTTAATCTCCATTCAAGACGTGTTTCTAAGTCTAGCCTTAGGTAAGGTTGTTTCTTATATTATGCTTCCTATCATACCTCACAATTTGATGTGCTTTGTACTGTAAGGAAAATGCTAACAAGTCAGACTTTATTGGCAAGGAAATACTTTTTAGAAGAAATGCAAGCAAAAGTCCATGAAGAAGCTACACATGAAGCCTAAAGAAAAGATGCATATATCTGTTACATGTTTTATTGAATTTACCTTGTTCTTAGATATGAAATATATATTTGTAAATGCATTGCCAAGGATGTGAAACAGCAATTCATTGTTTGCTAAGGAATGATAATGAAGTGAAGTGAATAAGAGAAGTGCTAAGGCCAGATCTAGAAGCTGAGATAGAAATTATTCCTAATTGTTTCTAGTCAGCATACTTTAAGAAATGGAAAGGCTATTTTTTCAGTAAAGGTAGAAAATATGACTTATCTTCTCCTTTCTTGTGTGTACTTTGATCAGTAAGCTGCAATGTGAGTTGAAGAAAATTGAGGAAAAATTTCTTCAGGTTCTTGATGCCAGAAACACAGTAGAATACAGTGTTGAACAAAGCAAAGTGGGGTAAAATATTTTCTTCTCTTCTGTTGTTTTTCTTTTAATAAAATATTAAAGTTGTTGCAAATTGTGAAAAAGTAGAAACAGATGTATGGTTTTAATGACTACACTGAAGAGTTGTACAAACAGTTCTACGTGTACCTCAAAGAAATAAAATAGCACTTCAGAACAGCACATAGAAATATTTGCAGTGTGAAGTTAAATTATTTGCCCTATTCAAATTTTATGACAAATTTTACAAAATTGAAAAGCTTATATTAAGATACTTTAAGGAACAGTTATTTTCTAACATGCAGAGTTTTGCTAAAGCTTCGGATGCAGTAATAAGCAAAACTGTTCTTCATTTTAATGTTTTAGAAGAAATAATTCATGGCAGATTTTTTGTCCACCCTAACAGTGCACCCTGTTTCAAGCAGGAATTAACTTTGGGAACAGTGCTCTGTATTGTATATGATGTTAGATTTGCGGATCTCAGTTTCCTTTCTGACAATAGACTTGTGAAAATTCGCATTTTACATTCTGTTTATCTACAAGTTCCATACATATAAGAAAGAGTATGGGGTATTGTGTATTTCAACTGTGCATAAACAGTGTAAACCAAAGCCTGTTAGGTTTGCTCCAAGAAAATCACAGAATCGCAGGTGTTGAAAGGGACCTCAAGAAATCGTGTCCAACCCCCCTGCTAAAGCAGGTTCCCTACCACGGGTCGCACAGGCAAATGTCCAGGTGGGTCTTGAATATCTCCATGGAAGGAGACTCCACAACCTCTCTGGGCAACCTGTTCGATTGCTGCATCACTCCCTTACCATGAAGAATTGTTCTGCTTGTTTGTATGGAGCTTCCTATGTTCTAAAGAATAAAATAAAATGAAAAAAAAAAATCCTCTTCTGGGTAAATCCTGAGGACCTGGCTTAATTTTAAACTCAGTTCTACTTTCGGCAAGTAGTCCTGCCAGTTCACAGATTAAGTCAAGCCATCAGGAAATACAAATATGTTTCTTTCTCTGGGAAAGTTTTCCTTCAAAAGAAAGGAAAAGAAAAAAGGAACTAAAAATTCAGTGAGACCTTTGCAAGTGGACTCTTTGGAAATGTACCTACGTGAGGTGAACAGGACTGACCCCTTACATAATTAAAGCCCCCAAAAAACAAAGGAAAAGTATGTGGAAGACGTGTTTTTACAGTATTATGCTGGTTGTAAGCTTGTACTGTTCCACAGTGTACTGTTTTGATACAGCAGTGACCCTTCTTTAACTGAAATTTCAGGTTGTGGGCCCGTGTACCAGATGTCAAGTAATCTGCATTGATCAACAGTCTGGGGAGCGAAACAAAGAATTTCTGCAGTCTCTGTCTGCTGCCAGGGGTAAAAAGGTCAGTACATTGCTGTAGAAGAGCTGCACAGAAAGATGTAGTGCATTGCATGCATAGTGGAATACGTGCTGAGAGAATACTCACTGTTAAGTTCTTCAGCTACTCATTATCATTTGTTTTTTCAGTCAAAAGAGGATGGACTTAAAACCCAGATATGATATGGCTTATTTCCAAAAAATTCTCAACATATCTTTTATTCAGAAACTGATTATAAATGTGCATTGTTTTTCACTGTGCTTGCTTTTATTCAGTATATACTGCTTTACAACATATTTGTTTTGGTCTTGGAAAATACAAGACAGTGTGTTGATGTCATTCCAGAAGAGAAATGTGCAGAAAAATCACAAAGTGCTTGTGACAAAACAATTAGCTCTTGAGACTAAACATTATTCTTGCTGAGAAAAAAAGGCTTAGGTAACCCAGAGCAGACGTGAATATAATCCAAGTGCAGAGTGACTGATCAGGAAAGTGAGTGACGAATAGGTCTGAAACACAGGCGTTGGTTTGGAGTGGTTGGGTTTCCTCAGGCTGAATTAATTCTTGGAACTGAGAGTGCTCAGACAATGGCTAGTTTGGCATCCCAAAAGCTTCATAAATCTCAGAGGCATTTTTTAGCTGAAAATCCTTACTCTGAATTCACTGATTGCTGTTAAGCTTCTCTTGTAAAAGGGAAGGTAGTCAGTGCCAATAGCCTCGCCAATAGCAGCCAGACACCAGAGACTGTGCACAGCACAGAGACATAACGAACAGGTTGCAAATTATTCACCCAAAGGGGGTGCACAAACAAGTTACAAATAATGCATTTTTTGTTTAAAAACAAAACAAAATCGATTTGTCTCAGTGACTCACTGTGCAAAGAAAGAGCTACATGTTCAATGAGTGTTTTCCTTGAGGAATAGCCCTGCGAGCTCCATCCTGGAGCCAGCTGCCTGGTGCAAAGTGAGGTGGGGAGGGGCGAGTAGTTCGAGCTGCCTGCTGGCACTGCTTCCTGCTGACCTGAGACAGCTTGGGGCTGCACAGCAGGCTGGCATCCTGATTGCTGCAGCACATATCATAGAATCATAGAATGGCTTGGGTTGGGAGGGACCTTAAAGACCATCTAGTTCCAACACCCTGCCATGGGCAGGGATGCCCCCAACCAGATTAGGCTGCCCAGAGCCCCATACAATCTGGCCTTGAATGCCTCCAGGGATGGGGCTCCCACAGCTTCTCTGGGCAGCTGTGTCAGCACCTCACCACTCTCTGAGACAGTATATGTTGCATGTGAAATGAGAACCTAATCATAGTGGGTAGCCTGAGAGTGAGACCTCTCCAAGTCATGATGAATCAAAGCTGGAACATCTGGGACACTTTCGAGATTGGGATGCTGCCCAGCTGCCACATGGAGCAGGGAGGGCTTTCCCTCCTGCGTGGGTTTTGCTAAATTATAACTGAAAGCCTCTGTAGAAGGACAGTAATCTGTGTTTGGTGTCCTCCCCAAGTGGCAGCGACTCAGCGACTCAAAGACACAGATTCTCAGGAGAGACACAGCACCTTCTGCATGTTTCCCACAGCAGAGATGAACTTCTCTTTTGCTCAGATTAACTCTGGTAATGCAAAGACTTTCTTGTTCTAGAGCCACAGGACTCCTTCATATAGAATTAAGGCAATGAAAGCAACCCAGCCTCTTGAGAACCTGGCGTCAAATAAAAGGAGCAGGGCATGGCAAGGTGCTGCAGAGCACCATGCTGCTATTCACAGCAGAGCAGTGCTTCCCTTCCCTCAGCTGTGCAAAGATATCCACACTGCAAAGAACAAGGCCATCAGCTTTTTATTTTTCCCAGCTTTCAGCCAAAGATTACTCTCAGCACTGCTGGCAGAAGGACTCTTGTGAACATGCCCTGCTCTGCACAGGGCCAAGTCTTCTGGGTATGCTTGACAGCCAAGTGAGGTAATCTGAACTGAATGTGTCTGTGAAGACATCATAGCCCATCCCTCCTCCAAGTCATCTGTGGGGTGATGGTCACCAGCTGCTTATCAGTCAGCAGCACCTGAGGACTGTGGCATCTGCAGTGTGCTAGGCAGAGCTGGCAGAGGACATTCATCTAAACTTTGCATAGTAAATAGTGGGGAGGGAGAAACATTGAGTTCCTGTGGTTTTGCTACATTGCAGAGCTAATCCTTTGATGACTTTTGTCTGTAGCAAATGCTTTTCTGTTGAGGATTCATCTACCTGACGTCACTTTAGATTTTTTTTCATTAAACACAGATTCAGTGAAGGAATTTAGCAGTGTTTGTTCTCAGCTGTCAGTAACACAAATCGAACTACAACAAACAAATGCAGCAAGTACAATTTAGACTGATTTCCTAGTACTGGTGTAACTGATACTTTTTGAGAGGCCATTATAGTTACTTAATTTCCAGAATGTTGAGGGCACTGCCAATGAACTTCAAGAATGACATAAATAAAGTAAGGCTTGTAAGAGGTGGGTTAATATTTTTTTCTGAAATGATATTTTTCACCAATCCTCTGAGACTCTGAGCATGTGCTGCTCCAAGCTGAAATATTGAGGCTTTGCATGGATGGATTATTGCTGAAAGTCAGAAGCAGTTATTGTAATTAGCCACACAAGCAGTTTGCGTGTTTCCTAATAAACATACAGCACAGCAATGAAATCTAGCCAACTACTTTCTACAAAACCTTTATTTGCATTGTTTGAAATAAAATGCAATCACCTCTGGAAAGCGAACTCAAATCCTACTGCCATCAGTTCTGAAGAAACGTTCATTAAGAATTC